CCCACCCCCTCGATGTGAGAGGGGGATACCATTCTGTAATCCCCCTCTCTGTACATGTCACGGCTCTTAAATAAATATGTATCATCAAAAGCTCATGAATTTATAAGTATTTCAATTATAGAGAAATTTTAAATGATTCATGTGGATAGCTTAAAAATACATATAACAATCTCTTCGATAAATTCTAAAAGTTTTTTTTTTTTTTTTAATTTAGGTATTCTCAACTGAGATTTTAATAAATTTTGATTAAATCCTTTAAAATTTAGTCATCCTTAATAATTTATGAATTTATAAGGACTTTATTGATAGAGGAAATCTCATTTGAGGGCATCCTAATAAAAGGAAAAAATGTACAATCCCTATACATTTTATAGGAGCAAGTTAATCCTCGACATTAGAATATCATCCCTTCGTTCGAACAATTGATTTATGTTCGAGCAATTTTATTCAAAATTCTTGTTAAAATTCAATTGATTGTAGTTCTCAAGATCAAAAAACCAAACGATTCTTCTACATGAACCAAAATTCAATTCAATTTTAAAATTGTATTTATGCTCACTTAAAATATAGATAGTGAATTAAACAATAGTTTAAGCCTTACAATTATTTTAATTATAAAAAGAAATCAAACAAAATTGAAGCATTTCATCCCGGTTTAGCTCAATTCCATCGATAAAATTTCTATTGATAATTGTTGTAGTTTGAACCCATGTTTGATAACCATACTTTACAAACTCTTTCCTCTATATTCTCATTTTCAATCATACATTCACACAATAAGATATTTTTCATGTAAATCGAAAATTTCTCCATACTATTTAACCACACATTTTCCTAAAAAAAATAACTTTAATTATTATAATTTTTAAAAAAAGTATTATAAGCCCTTGTTTGAGCTTCTTTACTTGAAAAAAAAAAAAAAAATTGATTTTGAAATAGTATTTTTGAAAAAATATATGATTAAAAGATAATGAGAATTTTTTGATTTACGTGTAATATTATTTATTAAAA